GCATGTGAGACAGAAACAGTACAAGAAAGATGCAGAGCTCGTGCAATGAGTCCAGAGGGCCACTAAGATGATCAGTAGGCTGGAGCACCTCTCCTATGAAGAAAGGTTGAGGGAACTTATCTAGGGTTGCATCTAGGGAGGAATAATTGCATGCACAGGTTGGGGGATGAGCTGCTGGGGAGGAGCTCTGCAGAGAGGAACCTGGGTGTCCTGGTGGACGACAGGTTGGCCATGAGCCAGCAGTGTGCCCTTGTGGCCAAAAAGGCCAATGGCATCCTGGGGTGCATTAAAAGAGCGTGGCCAGCAGGTCGTAGGAGGTGATCCTCCCCCTCTACTCTGCCCTGGTGAGGCCTCATCTGCAGTACTGCGTCCAGTTCTGGGCTCCCCAGTACAAAAAGGACAGGGATCTCTTGGAAAGAGTCCAGCGGAGGGCCACAAAGATGGTGAAGGGCCTGGAGCATCTCTCCTATGAGGAAAGGCTGAGTGAACTGGGTCTGTTCAGCCTTGAGAAAAGAAGACTGAGAGGGGACCTGATCCAGGTCTATAAGTATCTAAGGTGTGGGGGGCAGAGTGGAGAGGCCGGACTCTTTTCAGTGGTGAGTGGAGACAGGACAAGGGGAAACGGCCGGAAACTGCAGCATAGGAAGTTCTGCACAAATGTGCAAAGGAACTTCTTTACAGTGAGGTGACGGAGCACTGGAACAGGCTGCCCAGGGAGGTGGTGGAGTCTCCTTCTCTGGAGATGTTCAGGACCTGCCTGGATGCCGACCTGTGCGACCTGCTATAGGGAACCTGCTTTGGCAGGGGGTTGGACTCGATGATCTCTGGAGGTCCCTTCCAACCCCTACGATTCTGTGATTCTGTGATTCTGGGCTTGTTTAGCTTGGAGAAGGCTCCAGGGAGACCTCATTGTGGCCTTCCAATACTTTAAGGAAGTGTATAAACAGGAGGGGGAACAGCTGTTTAATAGAGTGGACAGCGATAGGACAAGAGAGAAATGGTTTTAAACTGAGACAGGGGAGGTTTAGGTTAGATGTTAGGAGGAAGTTTTTCACACAGAGGTGGTGAGGCACTGGAACAGGTTGCCCAAGGAGGCTGTGGATGCCCCATCCCTGCAGGCATTCAAGGCCAGGCTGGATGTGGCTCTGGGCAGCCTGGTCTGCTGGTTGGCGACCCTGCACACAGCAGGGGGTTGAAACTGGATGATCATTGTGGTCCTTTTCAACCCAGGCCATTCTGTGACTCTATGAACATTCCCATAATGTAAATATTTGGAAATCAATATTTCAGTGTAAAATATCCCAGTATAAAACCTTTAAGAGAAGCTTTTTAATTTTGGGCTGAGAATAACCGTCTGTACACCCCTCCAATGTCAGCCATAAAAAGCAAGCAAACCAGCAGTCATAGCATACAGCTCACTCACCAGTTCCCCTTCTCGCAGCTCTCATATCCCTGTGCTCACCCTAGCCATCCAAAGCTCGGTCTTGCATCTGTCCATGCATTTGTTACATCAGCACACACATCCTTATTTCATTTCCCTAATTTATCTATTAAAATTTAACGCACAATTCATTCAAATAACTAAATCCACAGATACTCATTCTCATATTTTCCTAAATAGTTCAGAGAAGGACAAAGCACCTCAAAGCTGGCAGCTGCAAGCTGACTGAGCACTTTGCTGCCATGCAGCCATGCCCTAGTACTCAGTCATAGTGTTCCACAACCTGAACCTTTGGGAGACATGTGAAGAACAAGTGATCATCAGACCATGTCATGACATCACCAGTCAACTGGATCTGCACTCCGGACTATTGCTCTGTTCTCCAGAAGGGGTAAGGATGCATGGGCTGAGAATGAGGGAACTGAAGGAACTGAGGTTTAGAAGGGGGAACTGATGGTGGTCACACAGAAATGCCGAATGACTCATGCTAAAGCCCTTGCTTGCTACAGCTTAAACCACTGGACTGTTCAGTCTAGAAAGCCTGGGTTGAGGTATTTTGTGAATGATTGCAGTCTTTTATTCATATGGGTGTGACTAACACATGATACACCTTTTAAGGAATGCTGAAGAATCTATTCCAAGAAGGTAGGCTTTCTTTCATTTTAAATGTTAATTAAACAGCTTTTTGTTCATCTGAAGCATCATCTCCAAATCAAGGCATCCAAGAGAAGAAACAGTGAAGACTGCCCATCCAACTTTACCCTGCTTCCATTCTCTCCCTCTCCTTGCAGGATAGGCAACTGAGGGCAGCTTTTTGGTACCTGGTATTCTCCTCCTCATTCTGAAACAGCTCCAGGGCTCCCTTATTACACACCTTTTGGTGCCACTTGAAGACACGCAAGAGTATCTGTATGGATTTTCCAAGGATATTCATAGAATTATAGAATCATTTGAGTCGAAAGGGATCCTTAGAAGCCACCTGATCCAACTCCCCTGCAATGAACAGGCATTATCTACAGCTAGATAAGATTGCTCAGAGCCCTATCCAGCCTGACCTTCAGTGTCTCCAGGGGCTGGGCATTCACCACATCTCAGCTCACCGTGTTCACCACTGCATTATCCATGGGTCTCCCACATTACTTTTTCTACACTGAAAGATGCATTAATTTTCTTAGTATGTGCTCCCATCCCTTTTCTCATATAGAACTGAGGCACACAGACTAGAACACAAAATGGCCATTAATACAGCCTGTTTGGAGATACACAGAGTATCGCAGACTGGGGCATTTAGCTTCAGAGAACACTTCAAGAGTTGAAAGTCCAACTTTCGTGAGTATTAATGCTCACTGAGTTGGGAAATTGGAGCCACAGTGCGTTCTGCCAACCTTCCTCATAGTCATGCTGGCCAGAATCAGCACTCCTCCTGCTATGCTTAAGCCTGAAGCAAAATTTCTCTCCCCGAGACCTTCTTCTTTAGTCAGTGCCTATTTTGCATTCTCCTCCACGAGAAGAGTAGCAAGGCTTCTCCCACCAGCAGCCCCCCTGGCCCTTCCGGTGCTGTCATCCTGAGCATCAAGCAAGTGCAGAATGTTAGGTGGGGGAAAATGAGCTCTGTGTCATGGTCACAAGGGCCTCGGTGGCAACAAAGCTTTTTAGACAAGGGAGATGACACATTTCCGAAGATGATTAATCCACAGAAGCCACCAGAATAGAGATAACCTCGGAAAGAGGAACATTAAAATAGAGAAAAAAACATGCTGCCAAACCCAAACCTGCTGCAGGTTCTTATCTTCCAGACTTTTCACATGTGAAAGTACCCTGGGATCTGGCTGCTATGAGTCATATCCTTGCTAACTGGAATACTTAAATTAAGCTTGTTCAGCACTTTTTACGATGGAAGGAAGTTAGTAAAAATAGGAAATGGACAGCATAGGTCTTGTTCCTTTAAACCCATTTACTTCTTTCTTAAGTGGTCTGAAGCAAACCTTTGTCATTGTTTGTCATTGTAGTTGCATGTTTATTTTTGCTAATATTTGCCAAATAATAACAAGGAATACACTTTCCCTGTGTAACAGACTCTATCTGCACAGTTTTATATGTTTAGAAACTCCTGCTGAGCCCTTTTCATGTCTTTCCTTGCCCCTTTCCTTTGAAAATTCCACTCGTCTACTCTCTTTGAATCACATTGTGCGACCTGCTGTAGGGAACCTGCTTTAGCAGGGAATGGGACTCGATAGTCTCCAGACATCCCTTCCAACCCCTATGATTCTGTGATATTGTGATCCCAGATTCCACAGCATCCAGTGCTCAGAACGGAATCCTGAAGCCTGCACAAGGTATGTTAGCCATCAGAATGGCTTTTCCAGCATTCCCAAGTTTGACATCCCAAGTGCTTTTTATTCATTACCGTATTTTTTTTTCTCTCCAGTGTTCACAACGCAGAGTGCAAACTGGGTCCTCAAGTAACAGTGGGCTCAGAAAGAGGAACAGAATCATAGAATCTCTTGGGTTGGAAGGGACCCATAAGGACCATCGAGTCCATCTCCTGACTGTACACAAGGCCACCCAAAATTCAAACTCTGTGTCTGAGTCCTTCTATGAAAACCTATGTATGTCCAAACGTGTCTTGAACTCCAGCAGGCTTGTGGCCTTGACCACTGCACAGTGTTTTACTGCTCATAAAGCAGTCCGACAGCAAACAGGCACATGTGATTGCTTATCACCCTTTACGTCTCCACTGGGGTGGGGTGATAGAACAAGTGCTGTGCACATACACTGCCCTGGCATCCCAGATGGAGAAGTGGGCACAAGGCTGCACCCCGTGATCTCATGCTCTCCTGTTGCAATGTGAGGCACTGGCAGCAAAGCAGGGCCTGCCTCCACTCTTTGCCATGGGGAACGCTGAGGTGAAGAGGCAGCTCATGCTCCAGCCTCTGCTGTCAGAGTCACTGGGGTGCCAAAGGACTTCCCTAGGAAACGTTCAGATGAACCTAAAACCTAAGAACTTACTGATAATAGTCACACTTAAAGGCAAAAATCTGAAGTTTTCAATTACTAAGACATTTTAGAACTGATGACAAATCAAGTTTGTATTGAATTCCAACCTCATGAAGATGTAACAAGACGAATTAACAATTCCAGCTAAAAATACAGGGAGGTTTAATAATGTTCAGAACATTAAATGGTTTTTCCATATTTGGTTTTAATGAAAAAAATACTGTATGAATAGAAATGGAAGTATAACAAAGAATTTCAATTGAATTAGGAAAATACAGGGATAAATAGAGCAAGTAAAACAAGCATTTTAATTCCAGGTTATTTGTGTATCATGGAACTCTTGCCTGTACTTATAGCTACTTACGTTTCCAAACAGACCAGAAGATGAGAACAAAATACCCTCACGATACGCTTACTGACATGTTCTCAGTTACAACTATGATGGTAGCATTCATATATTAACTTTTCATTTCTCAGATGGCAAAGAGCACAATAAAAAAGACTCTCAGGTCATTTACGTTTGGGGAAGGAAAGCCTGATCTCATCTGTTCCTCTGTTACTGTTGTCACTACTCTCACTTCATAATTAGTAACTGGGTTAATTCAATTTTAATGTACAACTTATCTGATTTTATACAACAGTGTGAAGCTGACATGGGGTAATAAAGTCTAGTTTTTACCCATGAGGAGATCCGTTTTAAGATAACTTCCAAACACTTTAGGCATGAGGAATATAATTTTAAAAATCTTCACCAAACTAAAATTAACATACGTGTATTCCATATATTAACATTGTCCCTGCTGTATGCCTTAGTATGGTCCAAATTCCCAACACAGAGACTATTTATATCATTTTCTAGTGTGTCCATATCTTCTTAAATTGGAAGAAATATGTTTAGAAAAGAAACCTGATCTACTAGAACATATAATGGGGATAGATTAACTTCAATTATGTTACTTGAAATAAAATATCCATTATATAATGGATGAAATATCCATTATATTAAGCTACTGGCTGGCAAGCATTAAATCAAATATAGACTTCTACATATTCTGTATCTGTAGTGAAGTATTATAACATATTAAACAGACCTTTATTTTAAAATCTCTTTCCAACACAGGATCAATCCTGTATTAACTGCCTGACATAAGCTAGTTGCGAGTTATGAGGATCCCTGCCTTTTTTGGTACTGTATTCTGAGCTTTTCCAGTTGTTCTACACACTGTGTCTGGGCCAGCTTCAGTGTTCGGTTCTCCTCTGTCAGTTCTGCATACTCCTTGGCCAGCTGAGCAGCATCCATGCTTTCTTTTTCCACTTGTTCCAGTCTGGCAATCAGCTCTTTTCTGGCAATAACATTAAAAAGAAATTCACAAAGATTAAAAATGGCAGCAAGCAAAACACGTATTGTCATGGGTTAGGAGAAAGCTGGAGTACACCTTGTTGATGTGAAATACACAGCTAGAATACATATCTGCTACAGATGCTCTTTTGCCTTTAAAAGATGAATTCTGTGATAGGTTTGTTTTCCTGAGGTCAAACCTGCAAAATGCTGAGGACCTTTAAGTAAATATCTCTACCTTCAGTAAGAGTTCACTGTGCAGCCGTATGGGGAGGACCAACATCCTAGAGACTGAATGCTAATATGCTGCCTGTGTAAGAAGAGCAGCAATTTATTTTTCTCTCCCATACCAAATATATTTGAAAGCCATCAAGGTTTTCTAATGTTGTTGTTGTCCAGTTGCTTATCCAGTTGGTATATTCTGTGAAGCACGCCTGGTTTTGTTTTCTATGCTACCAAGAAAAAGGATTCTAGAGCACACTAGGCACACATCTGAACTAAACAAATTGCTTCTTTTCAGTTTTTATACTCAGACCTTACTTCTGCTGCTGAAGCATGGTCACCAACTGCAAACCTGACCCCTCCTGGCCTTTTTGAGTGCAGACACCCAAGAATTCAAGCTGTTGCTCCATCCCAGTTGGAGTCACCTTGTGCCCTGTGTTCCCAGATTTGGCCAGAAGTCACAGGCTACTGTAGACCATCAGCTGAAATTCCCTCCAGAGGAGTTAAGATAGCGGAGGCCTTAAAACAAAACACGCTGAGCGCATATGGGATATCTAATCGCACTCCACTTAGTTACCCAGCAGACTAGTCTGACCTCTGTTTTATTTCCCTTTGAGTCAAATCATTTTTCATCTCTGCTACAAGAAGTCTCTTTTAAAGGGTTCTTGGCTCTTTTGATCACTCTATCTCAGTGATTAGTTAATCTTTTAACTCTTTGGAGCCCTCTGACTTTCTCAGTCACGTCAAAACAATGGTTGTAGGTCATCTGCTGGAAGACGTAATGCCTTCAAAGCAGATTGCTTTTTCTGCAGTCTTTGAAGGAGTCCCCCGGCAAGCTGAACCAGTGCTTTCATGCAGGAAATTCTTACAGATTAGTGATTCCGCTTCCATAGGTCAGAGCATTCACAAAAAGATAACATTTCAGTATTTGCTGATTGCTTGCATTACTTACACCTGCAAAACCACAGTTTCTAGCAGTGAGATTTTAAGCACCTGGGTTTTCAAACAATTGTCCTATCTGGCCTTCTTTTAAGATTAATTTAATCTTTCTTTACTGCAGCTTTGAGAGATAGCATTGTTTAGCCAAGGATTTGCTGGCTGTTTACAGCCGCAGTTACTGCAGTTCAACGAGTTGTAAGAGAGCCGTGGCAGACCCATTTCTCAAAAAAATGATTCCCATACAAAAAAGAAATAGGGAAGAGATAGCAGGCTTTACAGCACTTTAAATCACCCCCAAGATGCAGTATGTGGAAGCCCTCCTGTAGCTATGTTTCAGCTTTGTTTTAGACCACTGGTGTGATGCACAGGTGCTGCAGTGGCACAGGCTGCCCAGGGAGGTGGTGCAGTCACCGTCCCTGAGGTGTTCAGGAGCCGTGTGGATGTGGCACTGAGGGACGTGGGCAGTGGGCGTGGGGGGGTGGGCTGGTGGTTGGACTGGGGGATCTGAGAGGTCTTTTCCAATCTTTAGTAGAATTCTGTTAACATTTGGCATAATGGAGTTGTAAAAATTTTAAAACCAGCAAAGCCATTAACAGATTAATTTGTCATTGTTTAGGCTGTGCTACATCTACTGCTCTTCGATATAGGCTACATGAACTGATCATGCCAGACAGTTTGATATTCCAGTTCCTGTTAATGGGGCCACTGAACACGCAAAAAAATGCAGGTAAGATTTAGAGAGTAAGAAATGTATTGAATGCAGTGAAATTTTACTAGCTTAATCACTTCAGCCCCTTCAGCTTCCACTGGAAGATTTTTGTCTCTTAGAGCCAAAAGAGAGCTTTAGCAATACTTTCTTGCAATTATTCTACTGGCGCAGTGCTGGGCGGAAGGATTACATGACTCTTTTTCACACTACAGACTGCTGGATGAGGAGTCTTCTAAACCAATTAATTTGGAATAATTATTTTCTCACTCTTTATGAGGTTCTTAAATGCAGGGGCAGTGAACACACTTGTAAGTAATCAGCATAGTAAGAGCAGATAAACCTTTTCCATGGGAAATTTTAGCACTTGTGAAAGAAAGGTACTGCCTACCCTATTTGGACTTGAGCCAGAGGCGGCACAGGCAGACAGCGTACAAACTCAGACAGCTCTATTAATGAATGCCAGTCCTGATTTGATAAGGCTGCTTGCAAGCATGGTTTTCATGCTGCTATCTAATGAAACTCAAGTAGCATAGATTTTTTAATTATTATTATTATTTTTTTTTTTTTCAGAGACTTAGCTTTGCTGTTGAAGAAAGCAAAAATGAGTTAAGATCAAAGTAAACTCATTTCTGCAGTCCAGACTCTAGGACCTCCCTTCCTTGCCCTGAGGTAGTAAAATTGCCCTCTTCTGAGTCAGCAGAACCTACTTATTCCCTTCCCATCAGGATCAACACCTGTTTACAGGGTAGGGTGATGTTTCAGGCAAATACTACCAGCCTGCCACAGAGATCTAAAATTAGAATACCAGGGAATTGCTAAATGTTATGAATGGTGTGGTTTACGAAGCTTACAAAGGATGAGGACAGTAACTAACATTTGCTTCTGATCTAATCCAGAATTTGAACTTAGCCCTCAGAGGTTAAAGAACACCATACTAAGCTCTTGCACCATCTAGCCTTTGTTATGGATGACTAATAAATAGATTTATCATTGTGTAACCAGTCTTTGCTGTTAATGGTTACCCCATGTTTAAATATTAACAGCACTTATAAGGTATTTTCTAAAATGGTGTTGAGGTACTTAAATTTTTGAGACAATCTGTAACATGCACTTTAAGTGCTCTTTTCTGGGGAGGGGTTAAGGTGAGAAAGAAAGACCAGTGTGATTTGCATCATAAACCAATAAACCATAATCAATAACAGAAAAGAAAACGAAAGGAGAAAGAAAAGAAGAAAAGAAAATCAGCAGGATCTTAGGGAAAGTGTTACTTTAGTCCTGATATTAATGACTTTGCCCATGAAAAGATCAGAATTACTTTATAGTAATATTCACAATGAATAAATACCAAAAAAAAGGGACAGATGAAGCAGATATACTTGTCTCCAGATAAATCTATTGGCAGACAGATAAACCAGACTCAAAGAAAACTGCTTCCACAGTGCAAAGACACAGGCTTGTCTCCCTGCAGTTCTGAACAAGGTATTCAGGATCACGCATGTGGTACAATGCACGTCTTCCTAGCTGACGTGTTCTGGTGGCCATAAGGTCATTTACTTTTCCCATATTTGACACAGCTTTCACGTCAGGAGGAATCACGACACCCCCGTATGATAACTGCTGACTGGGAAGACTAACCTTGCATGTTTAAAGTCCAGTAACTAATTTTTAAACTGTGAGACAGCCTGTTTTAATGTTAATAAACAGGCTGTAATAAAGCTATTTCTCCAATACCAGCAGATAAAAGATACGTATTTCTTACTACAACAGGGGAAGTTGTGGTTTCTCTTTGTACTTGAAAAGCTTTAATTTCTACTGATTTGGCAAGTTAACAAGATGTGTGTAAAAAATCAAGTCTGGAATGAAAAAAAATAGTAAGATAAAAGGTTGTTTTTATGCCATAACATCAGTCTTTTTCTGCAATATCTGGAAGTCTGAAGAGGACTTTTCTTAACAGCACAGGGAAAGTCACACCAAAAAGTGTGCCTGGAGGAGGCACTTGAATTTGAGACCTTAGAAATACTCCAAGGTCACAGTAACACATTAAAGCACATAGAAGGCTCGCACAAAATTCAGTGGACATCTCCACTGCGTGTCTAATGTAACGTGCAAAGGAAGGAAAAACCATCATAACCATGGCAAAGAAGAAGAGTGAACCTAAACCAGGTGGTGGTCGAGTGATATTTTCTGGACAGTTATATTAGAATTGTCTGGGAGAGGAAAAAGAGAAAAGCAGCCAGAGCTAAGAATATAAGGTATAGCTAGCAACCATGGCAACTCTAATATTTAACTACATAATCCAGGGTCATTATCTAGTAATAGCAATATAACAAGTGCTCAAAATAACCAGCTATCCCATCCCTTTCACCCAAACTTAGATACCCAAAAACATCTGTTATGGAAATACATGTGTGTTTCTGGAACATAAATTAAATAACATTCTGTGACCTAAATGTGGTGTGTTCTCACTTCCCCACCCTTTTCTTTCTTTTTGATCATGTCTCCCATTCCAGACTGATTTTGTCCCTCCTACTTCGTATTGTTGGCATAAAAGGGAAGAGTCTGAGTCAAGACTGCAAACAGAGCTATGATGAATTATGTTAGCAAAGCAAATCTATTTAATATTCCCTTCAATTATTTCAATTTCTTGCTTCCTTTTGTCTTTTTCCTTACCTCAGTCTACCTTCTCATTGCTTTGCCCTCTGATTTTTCCATTTTTGAACCTGAAACCTCCCTTTCACATTTCCCATTTTCTTATGAAATAATTGTCATCTTCTCTCTCACTACCAGTCTAGTAGATTCCCTTTCCATCTGTACTGCACACAAAATAGAAGGGGCAAATAAGCTCTGTTCTAGCTCTGAAGAAAAGCAACCCCAGTCATTTCACACTACTGCCTTTCAGTACTCCAGCCACACATAACCCACACACTCCAGGGAGAGACAAGCTAAACTAAGAATTGAAAACCATTGAAAAGTTTCAAAAAGAGTAACCATTGTAATTTTATTCATCTTTTTATTTCTTAAAGATGCTTCTTTTATAAGTATAGCTATGCGTTATTTCTCTATGTGAAAGGTTACTCTGAACTTTGGAGGCTGAAAAAAAACCCCCACCAAACCAGCACACCTCCAATAACTGTTAATTTCAGGTTGACTTTCTTTCTCCTAGCCACCAAATTAAAAAGAAAAAATCTTATTTTCTGCTTTGAGCCTGACAACCACCATCAATAGTCTGCATGCACAGTGTTACTAGTAGTAGGCACCATAGGTGCCGACACTGCCAGGTGGGACTCAACATTTGAGTTCTGCAGGTGAATTGACTTGTGAAGAAGAAATTCAGAAGACTAACAGGGCCGTCAGCCAATAGCACTTCTCATTGTCTTTAGTAAAAACGGAAGCTGAAAAACACTGCACAAATTATTTGTTCCCATTACAAGGGATTCTTTGTCCATTTTATCACGTGGATATTTAAAAGAAATAGGCAGGTGTATTAAGCAATTGTGATTCTCCACTTCCATACATTCAAATTCAAATTTAGAAAATTAAGACACCTGTAACATTTCCTCATCTGCTCATGGTTCAGAAAGCTACAGCATCTCCACATTTTCCATTTGATTATAACTGCTCTTTAGTCTAAAATCTCTGCATTACCTTGGACTTCCTTTAGAAAAGACAAAGCATCTTTCTCTTCTGAGAAAGGAATACTGAATATGCATGTCACCCCAGCCGTCATGATCCACTCTTCATGTTGTCACTTCAGCATATGATAAATTTCCTATAACTTTCAAACTGTTACTACTGAGAATAATTTGGGATACAAATCACTGATTGCTAGACCAAAAATTTCATTTATGTCTTGCTTATCTCTACACCCCTACTCCTTTCAACATAGTTTTATCTAAAAAACAAGGTAAATGTGTTCAGGTCCTGCATCCTTACATGTGTGTAGAGGTGTGTATCTCCTAGTAAGATTTTAATCCACCTTCCAACTTCAACCAGACTTTACGGAATAACAATGTCTCCGTTTCTCAAAGGTTTAAAAAACAAACACAGTGCTACAGAAAAGAAAGACACCCCAAAGAGGAAAGACAGTACCATGAACCCTCCTCCAAAGCACTGAAAGATTGAGATTTATATGGAGGAAGGGACTTCAAAAATAGTTCCCTGGAGGAAAAGTTTCAGTTGGTATTTGCAGGTTTTTAAGCCTCAAAATCAAATACCTACAGTGCACCTATCGGTAGGAAATAAGAATCTTTGATCTAATGCTTGTTGGTCCATTTCTTTTGATTAAAAGATTTGAAAGGTGGGGAAAGATGCTGCACTGACATCTTTCACTTCTAGGGACTTCACAGCTACCGAGCATGTGAGCATCTGGGCCACAAATGTGCAATTAGGAGGGTCGTAAGAAGGATAGTAATAGAATTCTATTTGCTGCCTTATTCAGCTGCTCTTCTATTATTGTATTTTCTGGAGCATGAAATCTTCTGTCCACCAAGCAAGTTCAGCAGAGGTAGAAATATGGAAACTTCCTCGCATGCACTGTTTGCATCCTCTAGCGAAATGAAGGAAAATGGCAGCTTGAAGCCCTTTAAGTCATCCAGAATTACAACTGCTGAGAAACTTTCTTCTGGTCTCAGAGGCTGATGAGGATAGTTTTTGAGCTCAAGTAAACAATTCCATGCATGCATCTGCCATTTTCAAGGAGAAAATGTTTATAATGTAGCTAATACCACAGACTGCAAAAATGCACTCAAACAGCATTCTTTTTTTTTCATTCTTGCAAATGCAGAACATACATATTAGTGTAGTTTTCAAGAGTCTCAAGATAACTTTGCAAATGTGTAGAGCTGAATCAGGAATGAGTCAATAACAATAATGAATTTGTATTGGTGGGCTGCAAAATACAATTAATCTAAGGCTGTCATTTGAATTTGTGTCTGAAGCTAAGCACCAACATTCAATATTTTATATTCAGTTGGCATTTGCAGAAAGGATAAGTACATATGGTTCCCTCTGAACCATTAGATGATCAAATTTGACAAATCATTGTAAAATTATTTGAACTGTGTATCTTCTCTCTACACAATTTTTAAAACGTCAGTTACTTTCCACTGGCCAAGTTTAATTAATGATGAATCAAGTGCAGTCACTGAGAGAATGTAGTGTTAAGACTCTTCAGGTTATCGTTTCCTTTTTTTTTAACCTCTGTGCCAATATGGTAGCAATTGAGTGCCATGCAGATCCCACAGCGGAAGAGGATTTGGTACTGGGAAACCTCAACTGTTTCTGATACGTTTGGCGACAACTAAACATATTTTGTCTACAGCCATCGACTCTGATAAAGACAAGCGTCACTTTCTTACTCTACAAAGTTTGGTTTCACAGTGATCTCTCACTATATTACTTACAGTGATCTTATAAGACCACAGAATTTCACCAGTTTCCACCCCTTCAGCTTGCTGCAGACTCCCACAGATGCAAATGTGGCTGAACTGTGTGGTCATCTCGTGCTACTATTGCCATGACACATCTAGAATGGTTCCTCCTCTAATCAAAACCCTCTCTGCTAGAGCTTTTCCGAGCCCCATTGCTATGCTATGAATGTTTCTCTTCCAAACATGTTAAGAGCTATAGTCTTTTTTTTACTACTTTTACTTACAACTTTAACTACAGCAATCAGAAGAACTTCATGCAACATTTGGACGTATGGTTGTGTGGTTTTATTTTCCCAATAAATCTCAGCTATCCACACTGAGGTAACTATCCTTGAGGACGGCAGCACTCCTTGAAGTCACCCTCAATGTGAATGTCAAAATAAAAAAGCACTTGAAGTAGAAAGTCTTCTTTGCAGTAACTGTTATTGCTTGGGGCTCACTGTCACTCACCCTTTTTCCTCCCTCACAGAATTCCTTTTTGCCAGGTTTCTTGTAGAAAGAGTCCCAGAAAACCCACTCTGTCATTTAATAGTCATGTGAAGATGACAGGGCTATGAATAGAGGACACAGACAAAAATTTTAAAAATAATTTAGAAGTCTCCCTCCAGCTTAAGCACTCTGGATGTGAGCACCTGAAATATGAATCTACATAGAGATGACACCCAGAAAAAAATTTACTAACATTGTCAAATAACTGACATCAAACTGATCCATTATGCTTTTCATTAAGACATACAAAGTTACATTGGGAAAAAACCAATCCTAAAACTAATAAGGTAACTGCTCCAGATGATCTAGATTGCTATGTGACAAGGATAAAGTGTCCCGATGCTGTGAGTGAGGGTTTTAAGGGACTCTGAACAACTGAGGGCCCAAAGCTTTGACAGCTCTGTGCTCTTAGTGGTCTCAGTTAATCCTAACCAAGGGCCTGTTGTGCTGTACTGTGACTGTCACGCGGAGGAATAAGGTCACACAGTGTCATCTAAGACCCTTACATTTAGAATGGAGCTTTACAAGGAGAATATACAGCAGTAAATACTGTGGGAAAGTTACTCACTTTCTTTCTTCCAGCAGAGCAATTTCTTTTTTCACCTCATGATACTCTTCTGCTATTTTGCAGTGTTGTTTGTACACCTGCATCGATTCCTTAGAGTCATGACAAGGAGGCAGAGGCTTTATGAACAGAAGAAGAAAAAAATACTGCTTTTGAATGCAATATTAGGAATAAACACATATTTTGAAAGATGCACTTGTCAGTTCATCTCCGTGAGAATACTTAGAGAAAAAGTCAAACACTTTGAGAAAAGCTGCTGTATTGAAAATACAGCAGGGAAAGAACGCTTTCCTGCACATGAATATGCACAACCCTTCAATCTTTGTAAGGATTTTCGGAGCTTTTCACAACAACTTTGCAAAGTATCATGAAAGACTGTTTAAAGAAAGATTTCTCCCTTACCTATTCCTTTTTCAGCTATAGAAAAGTAAGAATGATAAAGCTGACACATCAGTCATATCTACAAAATATGTGAGCATCTTTACACTGCAGAAACTACAGCAGTGAAGAGGAGGGTAATTTGAGTGTAAACCAGCCCTTATTCTCTAATTCTCAAAAGGAGAATAAAAGGTATGGAAAGTTATTGACTAAACACACTTTTTCATAGAAGCACTGCTTCTTCCAGCTTATTATTAAAATGGACAAGACTGTGAATTGAGACTAGGGCTGACTCTGCTGGATTCACAAGGAGCTACACTTCTGACTCTGGTAAAGCCAAGATTTCATACTGTGTGTGACCAAGCAATGCCTCAATCTCTAAGTAGTTTGCTCAAGACTGTCTCCAGTTTCTCTGCACTGCTAGTTCCTGTAGAAGAGGATATACTTAGTTAGCAGAAATGTTATGGGAGCATTGGCAAAGTGTGTCCAATTTCCACCAGAGGAGTGTGTGAGATTCAGAGTAGAAAGATGACAGTCATTAAAAAATCTGATAAAAAACAGTGAAGTGAAAGCATTGTATCCCCTAACCTGTATACCTTATTATTATTAATAATTATACATTATTACAGAAAGATTTGTTGCTGTTGTTGTTCCAGTGCATACTAAGTACAGCAGATTAAATCACCCTGTCCTAAGTCTCTTCATAAGAATTTCAACTACAAACTTGAAAATATAGTGTGGTTAAGTGTCAGTGTATTTCGTTCCTTAAAAGAGTACAACTTAATTTGGGCCTCAAGCTTGGCTGGCACATCGTGACCACAGCACTTTCAGGAAGTGTATTATTTTTAAGTTATTAGCCATGAATCAATTGACTGTACATGAAGTCCAAATAGCATGCTTGAGCCACCTGTTTGAAGCAAAAGGAAGCACTTAAAATAGTTCCTTTACTGTCCAGTTAAAGAAATCCAATTGCCTCTCACAATATAAGCAGACTTTTATTTCTTGTCGTTCTATTTTGACTCTTATTTGTAGCGTAATATTCCTTCAAGTGCATTCTTAGAAAAAGAAAAACACAAGTCTTCAGACATTTCCTATCCATGGTCTTGCAATCTTGTGTTCTTGCTAAACTGGAAATACGTATTTTATCAAACACATTCAGAAACAAACGTGAAAAGTGTTTTTATCCAAGAGGCAGAGTGTGTTGGCTTGAGATGCGCACCAGTGCAAAAATGTAACTAATGAATGGACCTCTGAAAGTATTTGCAGATGGTATGCAGTTCCGCATTGAAAATTTAAAACAGATAGTCATTTTCCATCTTCTAAATGTAAGAAATGCCACAGCAGAATAGTTTTCATGGCACAGTTCTGAGCTCGGAGAATTTGGGACCCCAGAGAAAGGGCTGTTCATTACTGGGTGAATGTGGTCCTAGGAATGGGCTTTTAATTGCATTTCAATGTGGCTGAGCAACAGCACCATTCATATAGTCACCCAAATAATAACCACAAATTTAACAGGACAGAATATAGAAGTCTCGGCGCTCTAATCCAAGAATGCAAGGGTGAGCCAAAGTAGCATCTGTGGTATCTACCAGAGATCAGCAAACAACAAATGCATCATAACAAAACGATCTTTAACAATACCCAGTGAGGGAAAGTCCCCGGAGTGATACTTCAAAGAAGAAGAAACCTGCTTTTGCTTTCAACATAGTTTCCGCAAAACTAGCTGGTTTAAATCAGTTTAAAAATTAAAGCAGCATTCAGTTTCTGTATTCCAGCTTCCCACTCAAAAGATATATTTAGAGAGTTAAAATTATCTAGTCATGCTGAGCCTTAATATCTAATTCCCACTTAGAACCAGTTGCTGGCTTTCGAACTCCTACCATTGTTTCCTCTTCAGCGTCATTTTTTTCTTACATTGATATTTTATCACCAGACAATAAAAGATACGGTTTACTGATATTCTGTTCATACAATTCTGTTTCAACTTTGATGGATGTTCTTACACAATAAATCAATAACTTTATTTCTAATTGTGAAAAGATACCTATTTGGTACATAAAAATCAGGACAGTGCATTTTACTTTAAAATGTAGATTTGATAATGTTTTCGTATGACTGGATATTTTGGTTTGCTCTTTGGTAAAACTGACATTTCTAAGAATGGTTTTGGAGATAATACCTACAGTTCCTATGAGTAATTTCTGGGCTGTGGTACATAATACACAGGCTTATGCATCATTATTTAACAAGCAGCTGTACTGTAATCACAAGAGACGTGAAGGAGCAACACTCTGCTGCTCTTTGCTGCTCACCATAAAAGACCAAGCAACACATAAGCACAGGGAAATTATTTTAGCCATGTCAAACAGCCTACTTTTTGCCATAAAGAAGGGTGCAGAGAATTGATACATCTGTTCCCAATAAAATCAGCATTTTCAGAAGATGGAAGGGCAAACTCCTGAAAAAAAACACCTCAGAAAGATGGGAAGGTTACTTGTTCCAAAGGCGTGCCTCTGAATTGGCACACATTTACAGTGTCAACAAATTTCCTTAGAAAAGAAACAAATAACAGTAATGTAGCAGTTACTGAACTTGTCCATAATAATCTAAATAAGACTGAGAGAAATGTGCTAAAATCTGAATCCAGCCCCATGTTATCAGAAACAAATTCTGCAGTCCACAGGCTTATCATGTTGTTAGAGCAGCTGAAGTCCTCTGCCTCAGCTAAGGGTCTGCCCCAGAGCCTCACCAAGACCAGAAATTATGCTGTTACTTCCAGTCCCATTTTGCCAAAGACAAATTTCCATTTTTTTTTTTTTTATTATGCCAGCATTGGCTTTCATTCAAATGGTGCTCCTTTATCCTGCCTATTCTAGCCCTGTGATATGCTTACAGAGAGTTCTCATGCACTTTCCATCCCTACATCCAAGCTGCACTCCTCTAATCCCTCACAGACAAAGCTTTTTCCTCTAGCTTGTCCTAAGCAGCCTCTGCTCCCTGTTCTACTTCCATTGCCTTTTTGAATATCTGTGACCAGGCCACATGAAGCCTTACAGTGCTTACCCGGAGGGCAGTCCTCTGGCACAGAACTGGCATCCCCATTCTAATCCATGAAGTCTGTATGCTATTTTTTGGTAAGAGCACTCTAGCTTCCATAGGTGACAAACGACAGAAGTCCCAAAAAAGTTCAGTTTACAGTATGGTGGTTTTTTTTTCATTCGGATACTTCAGGAAGTGTCTTGCCAGTCCATAATTAATATATATAAAAGCATACCTGCTACGTAAGCAAAAAAAGCTCCGGCCAAAGAAAGTTATATTTAATGGCAACAGTTGCTACTTTTAATCCTGCTTATTTCAGGCTTCAGTGTCATCCACCCTCATTTTCCTGTGTTGGCAAAATATGTGCACACAGCATCTCTGATTTGGTTCTCAAAGCTATTACAGAAACTATAGTTTTCAGTGGTACCGTTGGTCTATCCTGCCATCCCTAATTTTCAGCAAGGTCTGATTTTCCTTGCACTTTATGGAATGACTCACCTTGACAAACTTTCTCAAGAACCCAGCAAACAGACACTAAGAGATCCTGCTATAGGCTATTCTGTTACTGCACATAGGTACGTACATCTGTACAGGACATCTGCAATGTCGATTTAGGTTTTCATTTCAAATGCAGATATGAAAGACGTTGAAAGACGATACGTAAGGATAGTTCATGAAAAGACAGCTAAGACACTGAGCTTTCTGCCTAAGACAGGCTGTTCTAATTACCTTTGCTGAACAATTTTCAATTTTGTTTTGTGCATTTTTCCTTGATTTGTTCACTTTGCAAACTACATTTTCCCTTGCCACATGAATTCCCAATCCACAGAAGTTCACAGCCAAATCTGTAAGCTCTGTGTAGTCAATAGTGTCACTGCGGTATTCAAAAACTTTAAAAATCAATTTTTTATGTATTAATTTTTGTTTGTAGTGTTGTAGTTATTCTAGGTACTTCAAAAAGAAATCAAGACTTGTTTCTGGGAAGTTTAAAGAAAAAGATTGTGTCATGCATTTTTGCCAGCTGAGCATGCAGACTCAACTAGGAGGTAATCTCCAGCCCAGATCTGGAGTGGCATCCTGTATTTTTTGTAGGTCTGGTAAACTAAATCCAGCTAAACCATTCTGGAAGAACAGAAAGCCCAGTGACAATATTTTGCATGTGGCCTATTTTCATTACATGGCCTTGTGCTTTCATGTGATAGCTGGACATTGCAGCTCGTTTTTGGTAGCAACTGCAAATCTTCAAGCAATTTCAGGCAGCTAGTCTAGGATATATCTAGTCTAGTCTACTTTTACTATGGAAATAAGCAGCTATCTTTCTTTCAAACAATTCAGGTCAGCTGGATGGAAGCAACTGAGAGTTTTGCTTTCATTGCCTGAGAGATTTTCTATACTTTCACAATCATAGTGTGATGCTTTGGCTTTGTCAACACCCATGTCACACAAAATCTAAACGTGCAGTTATTACAGCAGTGTTATGGGAGACTTAATCAGCTCATTGGCAATCAAATCTAATTATAGAGTACCAAGTACTGTAAAAAGTCTCTTGAAATTTAGTGCTTTTAGTACAGAGCAAACTTTTTAGAACTTCTGTGTGCTTTTTAACTTTCTAAAATATTTTTTGTTGTTGTTTGTGTACCAGTAGTCTTGGCAGTGAGCAGAAGCAATGGTTCCACTATTTAAGTTCTGGACAGAATAAACAAGGTTTCTGATAAATGCTTGTGTCACAGTCAAACTGTCCTTACTGCAATGTTTTCCTCACTTCTTTTGTATAGACATTTCCTACTTAAGCCTGAAAAACAACTCCTTGACTTAACAAGCTGATATTATGAACAGTTGGATTCTTTTCTCTGCCAGAGGAAATTTTATGGTCATCCAACTCTACTGATTTCAGGAGATTTATCATTCATACAAAATATGATACAAACACTTGTCTCAGGCTCGCGATTTCATGAAGGATAAGGAGTTACAGAGCACTCCATATATCTGTACGAGATTTGTGTTCTTTCCTAATTAGAATCAAACACCCAGATGGAATAAATTGTTTCTGGGAGATGAACCACAGGAAATGCTGGAGCAGGACAGACAGCCTAGCAATTTAAGTCTTTAATACCAGATACATTCATCTACATTCTGTGTGACCTGTGCAATAAGGCCTTACATGCTGATGTAGATGTCTAAATATAGACAAAATCAGTAGTGAAATGTTTGTCAGAGAGGCCATCAGCACTGTGCAGCTAATCAAGGTCTGGTTTAGCTCTGACACAAGGCAAAACTCTTCCCAACAACAAACTAACAAATGCAGCAAGACTGGCCTCTCTTCACCTCTGACTTTAACTGCTTGTACAATGGAGGGAAGAACACACACCTGAAGCCCAAATAAGCTAGTGCTTTATCCTCAAAGTGTTGCTTTTCAGTGGGAAGATAATGCATTCCAATACTGCGAACAAAGGAAAGTCAAATTAAAAACTTACTAACATGAATTTGGTTTCATTTAAGCATATAAGGAACTTCTTTACATATTTTCTTTTAATAACGAAGCTTCAAAAAAGATGAAGCCTTTCTTGTCCATTAATTGCTGTGTTCTCATATATAGAGCTATTGCATCTGATTGCCATACACGATACTTCTTTTTTTTAAAGGCCAAGAAACAAGAACAAAACTTTTGAATTAGAGAACTGGTATCATTTTCTTACGTATTACTTCTTGAAACATTTTCCTCTCACGAGTGGAAAAAGTAACATTCAGAAAGGTAATTGGAGAAGACAGTATTTTTGTCTGAACATATCTAGTTGATCTGAACACTGGACTGATCATTTCTATTCTTCAGAAAGCAGCTCTGACTTTCAACTAGTTTCCCCTCGAGTAAGAATTCTTACAGAGCATTAAGTATTTGCAGTTGGTCTCCTAGAAATACCCTTCCTCCAGCCAATCCTACCTCCACCTCTGCATAGCTGGCAGCAGTGCTTGGACAGCAGGCACGATCACCCTGCCAGGGATGGCCACACTGATCTCTGCCCTGCCATCGGACACCAGTGCCCAAGCAGGAGGCATGGCAGGACTGTGGGAGGAAAAGTGGGAACACTAGGTAATTCTGCTCAAACAGCCAAGATGACTGCCAGGGACAAAGATAGAAGGGCAAGGGCTTGAAGCCCAAAAGAGAGGTGCAAATTGCTTGGTACTCAGGCTGTGGTCTGACGCCTGCATGCATAAAATACTAAGGCACTGATTTTCCAAGTGGCTCCGTGAACTTACATATCTTTCAAGCTGCTTTCAAAATCTAACCTGAAGATCGGTTAATTTGGGCTCTTCTTTTTAAAGGTTTCAAGGTCTCACCAGTTTTCAAAAATACAGTCTTTTTTTTTTCTTTTTTTAAGTTCCTGGTACTGTACAGACACATACCCTGCATATATCGTTTTTTCTTTAAATAAAATAGTAATGCTTTTAACTGTATTTACAGCACAGTGAAGAAAATCTCACGGCTGTATATGTGATGTTTTTATTATAAAAATATGTACCAAAATTCTTACAAACCCAAGTATTTCAGGCAGCTATGCCATGGTTGATTAAAGGGCTTCTGAGATGTGTGCTGCTTTATACTAGCTAACTCTGGGATACAGAAAAGCATGGATGGGGTGTAAGGGACACTGCTGTTCACTACTATTCAGTACTTCTGCAGGTCCTGGTGCATGTCCATGTTGTTGAAGTTTGCTTCAGCAGTATGAGAGCTACCTGTTCCAATGCTGCCAAGGCTCCATTAACAGAAATTGCAAACATATGCCATACAGGACTGACATACCTTATGCAAACTGAATCACACTAACTGAAAAATGCGAGTAATAAGAAATTGTAACTAGGTACATTCTGACTTTCTTACACTTACTGTTATTTTGGAATTTTAAAGCAATTTAAACCTAATTATATTAAATGTTTATAATTTTGTGATCCACATTGATGAAAGCAAAAAAATTAAAGTAGTTGTTGCTAAAGCTATTACCTCTACATAGCTCAGAACCCTATGCTAACTAACTGCCACCAGTTGAGCATTAAGACATTTAAACATAATATGCACATAAGCTTGGAAAACTAATGGGTGAAGCAGCACCATTAACATTATAATTTTGAGTGCTTGAATCAGATATTATTCATAAGATCCTTCGAATTACCTCAGATTTATCCCTAAAATAGTTAATGAAGGATAATAAGAAGAATACAATCTGAATCAAAGCCTTTGATTGTTCTTTGAACTTGATGTCATCTTGAAATCATGAGGGCAAGGGAAGTTTCTTTTGAAAATATTTTACTTAGCAGACCATTATTTATCCAACACACTTAAGTCTTCCACTCTATTTCAGCCTATCATAAAATTACACATTTAGAGCACATTACTTGCTCCAGAAATGGGCTATAAAAGTCCTAATAAAAAATAATAACTTGGCCTGTAAAATACCTACATCTAACACCAGTAATTTTCTTTTTAGGTACCAACAGTAGTAATGACAATCATACTTTGCTCTTTTAGAGCAGCCTTTGCTTACTCATTTCAGTGCTCTTTGACAAGGAAGGTAGTAATTATTAACCTCATTTCGCAGACCAACAGAGGGATGAGGCAATTTATCCATGAACACACAGTGTGTCGCTGACTGAAAAAAAAATGCAGGTATTGACTTTCTGTTCAATGTGTCTGTCACAAAACAATACAGATTTTCTGAAATGGAGTTCTTCTGAGGGAAGAAAAACTATCAGTTGTCTCTGCTGCTCTTTTCAGCTCAGGCCGTAAGGTGCTATTCATTCCTTTAATCTTTCCTTGTTATGCCCAAGCAGCCTGTCTCTGTTCTCAGGATTAGAGGGACAGAGCAAGAAGAGTCTCTGTCATCCTCCATTCCTTCCTCAGTCATCCTTTTGATGAGAACAGCAGGAGAGAAAATTAAGTCCTTTAAGTCAGCAGCCCTCCAGTGTTGTCTCACTCGTTGATGGGGACAGGAAGGATGACATCATTGAACAACACGCTCTGCTAATGCCTTTCTCAATTTACACTCAGGAAACAACTGCCTTCATATTGAAATATCAGAGGAAGTCTAAATGCTCCTGGGAAACAGATGATCTAAAGTAGCTTACAGAGGCCAACAAACACTCCAGAACTGCCAGAGAGGAAAAGGAAATAATCCCTGGACACAGAGCTGGCTCTGTGCCTGGCAGACTATGGAGTTGCCATCAATTGCTACCTGATTGCCCAGCAGTCAGGGCTCCACTGACATCACAAATCAGAGCAGGCACAAAGGAGTTCACCTTTTCTGTCTTGTACTGCTTGCAGACATCTTCTAGGGCAACTGTGTGGCTTGCTGGCCATGCACTATGAATTCAGTAGTTTTGATGACTGGCCTTTATTATCCAAGAATTGAGATGGGATGGCACTGCAGAATGAACCTTTGTGTTCTCTAGGGATGCTTAAGAGAAGGCTGATCACAGTCTTAGCACACTTTGCATGCATGGCTCATTTCCTTTCCCATCAAATCACAAAAACTCCCTTCATTACTGTGCAGTAGTGCATGCTGTGTTTTGCACAGGAATTGTAAAAAACAAACAAAAAACCAACCAACCAACCAAACAAACAAAAAGCCCATAAAAGCATGTGAGATTATTAAAGTAATTATTTCCCTGCAATTGGATTAAAGATGCTGAAACACTTTTCTCAGATCTTAAAAAGACAATGCTTTCCTCTATGGAAACATACAGTCTTATTAAATGTTCATAGATTAGAGAAGTACCACTGAAAACTTTCATCTTAGTGTAACATCCAGAGGCTTTTAACAAAACAAATCTAGTCAAGTAGAACTGCAGTCAAAAAAGAAAAGGTTTACCTGCAGCTGCTGATCTAGTTCTGGAAATGCCAAAGGGAAGGAGTTTTCAGGAGCATCATCATCTAGAAGGTATAGATGACATTAAAAGCCAGTATGTACCAAGAAGGCAATTTCAAATAATCTGTTCAAAGTAGTTCTAAATTGCATATATTCACAAACATCTTCATGTATATGCTTATTTTTCTACACTTGAGATACCTTAATGAACTCTTTGACAATATCAATGAGTGGGAAATAAGGAAATATTTAGGTTCTAGAAAAGCAGAAATGTATTTTGTATTGCCGTGATTAAGAAACAAAACAAAGCCAGTTACAGAAGAAGAGTTGTGGCAATTTAAAAACAATACAGTGAAACAATCCTACTCCCTGAGATATCCATTACAGTGCAAAACAAGGAACCTTCCACAAACAGCACCCTTACAATGAAAAAGTTGATCACTGGAATGAAAGGGAAAGATAACTTCCCCATCACAGTACAATGTCTTACCAGGGCTAAAACAACAACAATAGAAACCTTTTCTCCCACCATCCAAAGACAACTGCATGAACAAGAAAATTTGACTGGCACACCGGCAACTAGAAGACAGTCACCAACATAGATATGATTAAAGCGAGGACGCACAGCAAGCTTCTCCATACTGTAAGGAAATGCCTTTACTTTAACCTGCGGATTGTAGTCCTTCCCTCCTAGAGTCAGTTCATTCATGACAATGAGCCAAACTTTGTTTTTATTTATTTCTTTATTTTTAGTACAGGCTTCATGCAAAGGTGGGACAGAGTGTGCCAGTTGCGTCAGTGTTGTGGTGTGGACACCTGCCCACTAGTAGCTGGACTGAGATCAGAAATATGAATCATACTACGCAGTGTCACAGCTAGACACCGCAATATTTCTTTCTCAGTGACTTTCACACTATCAGTTTTGCATTGGGTTGTGATGACGGTTTGTGTATCTTACTACAGGTTATGGGAGGTGAAGGGAAGGTTACTATTAGCCAGCTTACAGAGGCGGTTATTTGTAATGTGTCAAAATAAAACAAGGATGGCTCTCACTGGAGAAAATTGCTACCATAGGTCAGATCCTGTAGACTGCTTTTTGCTGACAAAACTGTATGCCACAAATCCCCAAAAGGATTTAAAAAACTAGGTGTCAAAGCAGGTTTAAATTGTTTTTCCAATACAGTTATCTCTTTATCCAGCCATCAGTGGTCATGTACTGGCTAACAGTCAGAATCTTACTTTTAACTAGCTCGGCCTGAGATGGACACCACTAGGAACGAATGCCCAGAGGAGGGCAGGGAGGAAAAATACAGTGATACGAAAGGGCAAAGCAAATATTTATGAACCTCTGCAAGAAACAAAGCAAAGAAGTATGTTTTTATGGGCTATGTGTCTTCCTCATAAAGTCACACCCACACACACAACTTCCATTTGTGCACCATGTCCCATACATGCCTACTGTAGGAAATATTTAAATGGTTTTAATTTCAGAGTTGTATCCTGATGATATGCAAGTGTTTACCTTTAATTTTCTGTGGCTTTCTTGCACGATATTTAAAAATAGACCAATAATCTAAAAGAAGAAAGATGAATCATATGACAGAGCTAAAAGGAAGGACAGAATAGGACTCAGTCAGACGAGGGGTACAGCTGCTCTACAGATATTTGGCCAAATAGCTGTTGAATATTCTGACAGAGATACTGGACCAGAGGAATGGTCCTATTTGTTTTTTCAGCAGTACAACTTCAGTACAGTAGCAGTAAGGAGGGAACTCAAACAATTTTATCTTAAGGAAAATCAAAGAAAAAGTTATCCCAAAGAAGAGACATCAGCCAAAAAATACTTTTTCACTGAATCAGATATTAATAAGGAAAAATAATGTTGCAGAACATTAGAAAATGTTTTGGATTCCCCTCAGGAAAACAAACAAACAAACAGTAAATAAGGTTTTAAAATGTTTTAGAAAGGATGGAATAAGGAGAGAATTTACTGTAGAGGAAATCCTTTCAATAAGCAGATGTTCAGTACTTATTTTCTGAACTCAAGTGACTGAGTCAATGGTACTAAAAATGGAACATATTGGTATCCTAACCATTAAGGCATACCATAGTACATTTTATAATGGGCCTGCCCTAGCATCTATTGAACAGCTGCTAGGGTTTTTTTTAGTTATGCTAGTTTAAGACTTGTTTAAATCATCCTCTCAATGATGCTCACCACATCAGATAAGCTGGGGACTTTGGTGGCTTGAAATTTTTCTGAGTTCCTAATTCTCTTGGGCTCCTATCAAAATTTTCAGCTTAAGTGTTTAGCCCACAAAACCAAAGAGGTATCTGCACAGCTAACTGCAAGCTTGTTTTCCACAAAACCAACAACAAAAATATTTCTCCATAGCTTCCAGTGAAATTAATTACTTCTTCAGGTTGGTCTGTATTGCACCGTTGTCAAAGTAACAGCCACAACAACAAAAATTACTTGGTAAAAATAAAACACATTTAGATTTCACAAAAGAGGAAAGCAAGTGACAACAATTATTCACTTCCTAATATTCTTTTAAGGATACAGGCAGAAAATCAAGAGGCAAGAAACTCTTGCAGTTTCTTCTAAAAGAATTACTACTGCCTTAGTGCACAGAGGAACAGACTAAATCACATTCTTTTTGCTTTCCATTCAGTTGAGCTCAGACAAAGCATCTTTATGTTTCAAAACCAACTCTGATCATTCCTATAGTAAAGCCAGCAACATAACAAATGAAGAAGCTCCCTAAGCTGCCCAGCCAACACACCTTCATGCTGAGATGGCATGATGGGCAGTGGTGTGCATGGGCAGCAAGGATAAGCCATTCAACCTCTGTTGTCCGGGTGAGCTCTTGTCTCTCTGCTGATCACACCTACTCACACAGATGTAATCATGGATTTATTATAAGGAATGGTACAGAGATTCACTCAAGCAATCTGATTTAGAAAGCTGAACTACATTAAGACTGACTTTCTTTGTACAAAAGGCTTATTACTTATTAGTGATGTTATGCATTTGGTCCCCCAACATACACTAACGTGCATTTAAGAACAAATCATGCTTTCTGGGAAGCTCACCATGTTTTGGCCTTCTGGAAATATCAATAGCACAGATTTCCATGATGTAGACAATTAAGTAAAATCCCTCACATTCTACTGTCTGACAAAATGCTTGGCATAGTAGTAAAAGTAACACTCCTGTCTTCCTATATACCTGCTCCACTGGGATGTGAGCAACAGCAGATGATTAAGTACTTGAAGAACAACATCTGATTTGTTTGCAGCATGAACTCACAAATTACAGTATCTCTTGGATCTTCACAAAGATAGCCAGAAATAGAACATAAAAATTTAAATGTGTTAAAAGCACATTAAGGTTGCTAAATCAAGCACTCAAAATTTAGGAAATGCCAATCACAACTCTGCTTCCTCGAGTAACTGAGTTATGATCCAGTCTTTAATTATACAATCAGATGCTAATTTTCTCTCCTACACGCGTGGGCAAGTGTATTCAAATCTCTTCCTCCTAAATTAAAGAATTAAATTGGTAACATAAGCAGGCTGTTATCCTGTAAGCAGATCAGCCCTTGCACAGGAAAAGTGCTCAAACCCGACTGCAACTGACAGTTGGACACCACTGGAAAACTGTGTTACAGGGGGTCCGGCCTTGGCCCTAAGAGGGCAGTGAGGCCCAGTAGCTACAGTGCTGGCTACTGACAGATGAGCACAGACTGATGGAGTTCATCCTGGAAGGCTGTGTGGCTAAGTGACTGGGACTTGGCACCACTGTGTGAAACTCCCTGGGTTCTATTCACGGTCCTGCCCGAAGCGACCTTACGCAACCCCTCAGTTACCTCACGCATAAAATAGTGAGGAATGGTCACTGCCCGACCCAGGAATAGGCTATGAAGGCTTGCTCAATAATAAGAGTTGCAGAGCTCCCCAAAATAGCACAGCCCATAACACAAGAGGTAAGAGCAAAACCCTCCTACTCAGTATACCTTCAACCTAAGCCCGACATGTCCTGGGAGGAATGTACAGCCTCTGTCCCTTTGAGGGTATCTCACGTAGGTTCCTAACTTCCCCAAAATACAACAAGTACTTCCTATCCTAATAAGGTCTTGCACGCAGGATTTATTAAACATTTGGGGCTGCAAAGACATGCACGAGCCCAAACTAAAAAATGAATGGACTGCAGTGTTATGTTGTCCCACTCTTAGAATTTCTTATTTTATGTCACAGAAATGCCCAAAAGACCTCAAAAATGGGCTGATCATGCCAGCCTCTGAACAGACAGCCACACTGGCAGTATGTTTCCCCCCTCAGGAGCATGTTTGTAGATAAGAAACAGAGTGAGATGAGGTGAGTGGTATCTGATGGTTCTCGTCATTTCCAAAGACCCAGCCACTTACTTGTAGGCTGAGTGCAGTTTTGTAAAACCAGCTCTATAAATTTCACCCATATATTTTAGCAATCTCCATTAGTTTTCAATCCATATATTATCAGTTGGAAAGTCTTTGTTGCCATTACAAATGAAAATGGAGATGGAGTAGGGCTTTGAAGCTTGCTATTGACGCAGCCATTACAAAACAGTCTTACCAGATCAAATATAAAAGCAAAAAATTATTTATGGTCACTAGGAAAACAAAGGCTTAAATAGGAATAAAGTCATTTGCTATGCTAGCAAAAATGCCATGTCATTTCACTGTCTGTCAGTTTTATTAAAAGAGGTATATTTTACCTTATCTGTGTTTTTTTGTTATCTGTGATTTTTCCCAGAGAGTGCTATCAGAGGTAGAGCAGTAATTTATCACCACATTGCTACCAGAATTCTTTTGTTAGATTCAAGCTATTATTCTGGAAGGGAAATTCAAGAGATATTTACCTGTACAGTTTTTTTTTAAGAACTACTACACAATACATATCTAGTACTCTACATTTAATAATTAGATATGATGTTTTAATGATATGGTCAGTAAATAAGATTTAATGACATAAATTAGGATATACTGAATTTAATTGGTTTAAATAAATCAGTGTTGATAAATTAAAATGAACTTTCTATTTGGGACCACTTATTTAAATTTTTGAACATCATATTCAGTTTAACTTGTATTGATATAAGATAGACTGATATTATATGTCTCAAATACATCAATTTAAAACAGTACCTTAAGTCAAACTGGTGCAATATGATGTGCAGACATACTCTGGGAAACCTATGTTTGATGCCAGCTTAGTGAACTTGAATAAAAGAGCCAAACATAGATATCTATATATACAGGAATAAGAGATACACAATAAAACTGTCATCTTATATAGCACTCAAATCAGCTGCTGTTCTTGGGACTTTTAAGGAACTGGTTTGCCAACATTCACATTAAAATGCTGTACAAAGCACAAAGCAAAGCATTGACTGACAATTAATGTAACACAATTAAGTTATTTCTTGTACACTCGGGATGGGTGAGCTCCCGTCTTGTAGGTCAGTTAACACAAAGTAATCTCTTCTCATGAGTTGAGAGCAGTTTCTCCTTTCACTGCTTCTCACACCCAGTGCTTGGTTACAATCCTAGCCAGTGAGATAATCACCACCCAGAAGAAACATTCCATTTCCCCTTTTTATATCTAGTTATGCTGCAAGTTCCTCCAAGTAAGCTGTGGTACAACCCCTGGAAGGATAATGCTGCATTACTTGGTGAAACCTATCACTGTGCCTTTCAAATGAGATAAAATTCAAGGAAAAGTTTAAGTCAGAGAGATTCTGTCACCACTTAGCCCTGGTGAAGGACTTCCTGTATGTACCCAACTCATCTTAAAAAATGTGCTATGTAGCTCTTTACGCTATCTTGATCTGACTATGGTTTATTGTAAATTTGGAAACCTTACAAAAGTTTCTTTGCTTTGCCTTCTCTGAATATATTACAAGTAATAATATTAAATAATATTAAATGTAACAATGTTTATAATGTAAAAGGTAATAATATTTACATGTTACTACTAGAAGAAAGAGTAGAAATCTTGTGCTGCAGTAAAACAGGGCGTGAGTTTAGACCTCTTACTAGCCCCTAAGGGCTAGTCGTGCAGTGAAATATATGACAGTCACTTTTACTGGTTGCTATTTAATTTTATCACTACTCAAAGATTGTGGATTGCATATTGCTGGAATTTTGTCTTTATGTAATAAATGACTCAAAACTATGGAAAGGTTTAACAGAATGTAACAGAAAAAGATTACCTTTCTGTAACTGAGATTCTTTCTGTAAATGTTAAGAGAGGCTGAAATTATTAGCAGGATAGAGAAGTAAAAAATAAATATGATGCAACATTAAGGAAGCTAGGCTTCCTGCCTTTCATGTCCCTCTTCTTCCAAGCTATTCACAACCTTGTTATTTCCTATTGCCGTCTCCTGTCACAAACCACTCTACCCTCTTTGATTTTCCCATGGTCTCAGCTTTCCCTGACTTGTTTTCAGTGTCTCCCATAAGCATTCTCTTTCTGTAATTCAAAAGATCACTCCTCTTTCTTTTCAGTCTAAGACCTAGATTTGCCACAATTCTTGTAAGAAACGTACCGTGCCATTATAGCTTCAGAAGTGACAAGGATTGATTATTACTTTCTGTAATAAAAATGTAATTAGCATGTTATTGTAATTTACAAAAAGAGGGCACAGAGACAGCCACATGTATTTCCTAATATTACTTCTCCCAATCTTTGTGGATTACCCATCTTTATAAGCTGCAAGTTATGCACAATAATATAAATGTTTGTTTTGAAATCTCCTTGCATAAGGGATGATACTTTCTTCCAAACTAATAGCTGTAAAATGGTATTATGCAATAATTACCTAGGGCATATAAAGTACATTCTGCAATATTTCTTAAAATGAGAAAATGATATCCAAGTCAAGGCTATTCTCAGAAAGCTCAGGAAGAGACTTCACATATTATCCTGCCCCACAGAGCACTCATCAGCAGTGGGTTGAAGTTATCTTTATCAGAGATCCTCAGATTTCACATCATCAACACATCTCAGACAGTGACTCACCTTTATCAACAGCTCAGTCAACTTTATTTAAGATACTTCCTAGCTTCCATTTTACCTTGTCAAACCCTGATTTTTTATTGCACATCAATGGCTCTCCAGACCTTAATAATATTTAAGATACAAACTAAGAATATTCATTTGTTCCAAAGTCTGAAGGGGCCATGTGCATACAGAGCATATTTGAGCAAATTAAAGCTCAGTCAGCACTAGCTGACAGGATAAACATCAATGAAATTTCTGCTGCTTTCTCAGAGAACATGCCATGTGGGGCATCCGTTTCCTGAAACCTTTCACCAAGCTGGGCACGTGTGGCACTTTCCAACCTTCCTGTTGAAGGGAAAGTCTCTTCCTGTTCTAGCCTCACTGACAGTACAAAATGTCCCTTTTATTCTGTTATTTTAAAATTGCCTGAAAATCAAGTATACTGTAAATACAAATGATTTTGATAGTTAATTAAAACCTGAAGTCTATCTTCCTGAAACCATTGAAAAAAAGTAATCTAAACTGTCAGTCATTTTAGTCTAATGAAATTGCTAATGGAAACATTAGAAGCTACTGGTCAAGAAAATTGATCATACAATACTGCTATCACTTAGGAAGAAAATTTACCTATAACTCTGGACTTCATTTGATATTGTAGACACTAGTAAAAAGCATGTAAAAAATTAAAGCAGTCACTTCCTTGTGGCTTAATCTGTAAATTAAATTGTACCTGGGGATTCATCCAGGCTGAAGGCAATTCGTACTGGCTTATCAGCAGGTACCCTGGCGGTGGTGATCATGTGGGCACTTGAGCCAATGCTTTTACTTGTCTGTTCCAGCTGAAATAATATAAACAAAACATTTATTACAGAGCACGTGATACCATCCAGCAAATGAGTTTTTTAATGCTTCTCATGCATTCATAGCTACCTTTCTCATTCTAACCAAGCAATGTTTAGAATCAAAGCCAAGGGAATGCCATTTCACTTATCCGTTTAAAAAGGATTCAAGTGCAGACTGCCTTTCTTTTGCTATTTGCAGATTAGAAAGTACAATGGCAAAGGAAGCTTCCCCTCTCCTCACCTGCTTGCTCCCCGCCATTGCCCCTTCAGCAAGCCTTGACTCGTGGCAATGCTGCCTGGTTCTGAAGGTGAAGAAGGAAGAAGGGGTGGGGAGTTGAGAGTAACATGACCCCAAGCCTGCCATGTGATTGGAAACGTGCACACCACTCCAGATGGTGTCAATGAGGAGGCACCCAACCTCCCACCTTCCACCCATACTCCCCCACTCAATGGACAGAAAGTTAGTGGCTTGCCAAACCTTGGTGGTGGTTCTTCAGCGGTCCTCTGTGCAGATGTAGGGGTCTTTCTGCATGGGTTTGCCTCCCGGATCAGGACCTTAGGCAGCCCTTGGTATTTCTTCTGAGACCAGCAGCTCCAAAAAGCAGTTTTAATGAGATGAGACCCTGTCCATCAAGAAAACTGCTAATTCACTTCAAGCAGAGCAATAAAGAATCAATGAGTAACAAAGAAGTTTGTTACTACTGATCTGTACTAGTATAATTAAAGTATCTTCATTCAAAAGTTGTACTCACAGATCTAGTGCATGCATTAACCATTTGAATGAATGGTATGATTGAACTCTACTAAGTAGATGAACGCAAACTTGACCTTGTTGTATCCCTAGCTCAAAGCTGCTGAAATTCACAGATATTAACTTTCTAATTAGCTCCATGTGTGAAGAATGTGAAGTCAATGGGACTTCATGCATGCAAGAGATCTGCCCCGAAAAAATTATTTTAGGACTGTAGACTATGCTATCCAGAGTGCATTGTATTCATACCAACAACGTGGACAAATAATGAGAGTAGCTTTTAAATCACTGTAAAAACTCCAGGGTCAATGGGAAACCAATTTTTTCAGGAAAAAGCAACAACAACAACAATAATAATAATAACTGCTAAATGTTGTATCAAATATCACTAAGAACATAGCATTTACCTAGTGAAAAAAAAAACCAAGCCAGTTTCCTAAGCCAATAATCTTGCAGTTTTTCAGTGAAGTAGCAATTGTATTGCACTGAAATCCCAACAACCCATTCAGATTTACACTTACTTATTTGGCACTCAGAAAGTCAATAGAACAGAATAATATTACAGGATTACAGTCTTCCTTGGTGATGCATGAGTGAATCAAATTCTTCCCTGGCATCATTGCATTGCAACCAGTGGAAGAATATTAAATTTGCATTTGGCCCATTAATTTCAGCCTTTATCTGCATTAATATTTAGCTAACAGATACAGTTGCTCTGTGGCAACGTTACACAGTCATTCATTAGAATTAACCCTAATCAAAGAAATTGTAATTTAAAAGTCTTACTTTTTCTGAAAATAACAAATATTCTAATATCATTAAATAAATCTCATTTGGAGGTAAGAACTTCTTTTTCTGTAGACACATGAAAAGTATCAAGGATTATTCCTTATTCTCTCTTGCTATTCATCAAGGCACAAAAATTCAAACTGATATCTATTGGGCAGAGAAGAACAAAGGTCAAATAACTGCCACAGTGTATGATTTTAGTCTCAGAGAAAGATCTCTAGAGTCAATTGAAATATTCTATTATGAAGAGCACTAACATTTACTTTCTCAACATTATTGATCATTTTTTCTTCCTCCGGAAACACTTTATAAGAAATATTTGAGACATTTCATTTTCTTAAAAGACAACTGCTAATGCAAAATTGCTTGATTTTATTTCCCTTCTCTCCTCCCCACTACAAGGTAGAGAGGAAAAACAAAGAGATTTTAAATGATAAGCACATCCTTGAAACAAGGCTACTCATCATTCTGTATCATTCTCCTGACATCTACTATCACAAGTGGTCTTCCACTTCACAATTCATATCATAGCCTAAGAAACTAAAATGATGCAATCTGCTGAAGGATTTAAATTTCTATAGCAATACTGTTTGGAATAATTACCAATTATTAATACCAACCAATTACATGGTCTGTGGTCTTTAGTATCTTTACACTAGATCTCTTAACTCTAGCTGTTTGAGGGCAAGAATCAATACCCTTTCAGTAAGTGATGGCGATTTCTGTCATAACACAAAAGAAAGTTTTCATTTTATTCTAATTCACACACACAAATAACAACAGCAACAACAAAACAGAAAAGAAATCACATCTTTGTACAGAGCAATTACTCTGCTATCCGGTTTCTTATATTACATTTATACCTTCAATCAGTTTTGTGCAGCATCCTCAAGCTCTTCATCACAACAAGCAATGAGAGTACAGAGAGAGGTGGAAGCGTTCTGTGTGCAAACAAGTTTTGATGCAGGAAACACACAGCCTGAAAGCCCCCATCCCACCCACCTTCTCCACACATGATGAACGGTATCGCTGTAGACAGGGATGAATGTGAGTGGGCAACCTGGAATGTAATGTCCTTTAATGAGCAGCCCCCTAGCTCATGACAATTGCCTATAGCGCTGGCTGCCGACGGTTCATAAAAAATCTGTAGCAGAACCCGGATAATCTAAGTGTTGTTACAGCGCTATCAGTTTAGTTCAGTTTTTCACACCTGTTGCCTTACCTCACTTAGTGGAGTGTCTGCACTTGTGTAATCCAGGGCCAGCCACTGCCTTGGCTTGTCGTTGCCTTTATGGAGTAAAGCTTCAATAAAAGAAAAGGCTGCACCTGCTGCATAGCAACAAACTGACAAGGTCTGAGAAGCTGAGACAGCTGTCAGGGCAACATGCTGCTACCTGCACTTCCCATGGGCTTTGCGGTCCCAGAAGATCACCCTTTTCTGCTTTTCTTCACAATTCTGCTTTTCCTTCCTCTCCTTTCCAGTGGCGAGGGATTATGATGCTGTCATGCTTCAGGGAGGAAAAAATCCTTCTGTCACAGGCATTATTAAACAGCAAGCTGTGGCGAGACCAAGATTTTTAATTCATTAGTCCTGGCAAACCTAAAATACAAACAGACTTGCTTCATAGGACAGGAATGTTTTCAGCATGACCCAATCAGTGTCTGTGTCTATTCCAGCAAACTGGCAAAGATAGCATGACTCCAGTCAGCAAAAATGTCTGTGGCTCCAATCAGCTTGGGGTGACATTGCCAACTTGGACCGGCTACAAGCGGACTATCAAATGATAGCAGCAACGATCAGAGCTAACAACAAGGGATGGGCTCGGTGTTTTGGGCTCGGTTCGCGCTGGCTGCGGTGAAGCGAGGCTCGGCTAATAGCAGGCGACAGCACTGCAGCTCCGCAGAGGCAGCGGCACATTTCAGAATGCGTGCGCCGTGAAAGCAGATGTATTTATAGATGAACTGATAATGACGGCGATAACTGAAGCTGACTAAATCAGAGACTTGACTGAACTCAGAGGATTTCCTAGTGTGATTTCTGGTAGCATTTCTCAGCTTTGAAACTGCAGGCAAGTAATTCAGAGAGAAATCTTGAACTATGACAAAAGAGAAAAACTCCTTCTGTTTAAATTTTTACCAGGCACGTGTACTGCCCACATAACGTTATTGGATTGATTGCTACCACTGTAATTAAAGAAATGGAAAACAATTACAAAATGAGTACACAACAATATTAAAAAAGGGGTTCTTTTTTTCTAAAAAAAAAACAAGTTATGTTTTGAAAGTGTATTTACTTCTAAACTCCAGATGGAAAAGCTTTATCTAACCCAAGTGGAGGAACTGCTAGATTCTTCTGTTGGCTCAGCTGAGATATACAGAGGTTGCAGGACAAGTTGAAGTGGTAGTAAAGGCTCTCTGAAGTCAAATCTTCATCCTCAACCTCCCACCTCTCCTCAGTTTCTGGCTTCAGCCCAGGATTGCTGTAATCATTGCAGATCTCAGGAACTCAGCAGCTGCCCTCACAAGACCTTTTTCATACTCTGAAATGACCAAACTACAGAGATATTCTATCCACATCGCCCTTCCGCCAGCAATGATCCAGAAGGGTATCAGAGAGCCATACCATTAGTTAGGTGTTTGGTGAGGCAATCTTCTGAACTGAACTGTGATTTTAGAGCAAGCATTAGGCCCAAATAGTCAGTCAAAAGCAGAAATACATCTCTGACTATGCTCACCCTTTTCTCTTGATGTATTTCTGAAAACAAAAACAAAACAAACAAAAAAAAAATGACGGTGCTTTCCTCTATGTCTCCTTTGGAAGAGGAAGGAAAGAGATTTGTCTCCAATCATAATCACTGCTTCTAACAACTTTCTACGGATCAATGGCATCAGCAGCTAATACTGATCTCCAGCTCTAGGACCAGCTATTGGGAAAGTATTTGGAAATACAGAAAACCCTTGCTTCACTGATGTTACTAAAAATACTTTTTTTTTTTTTCCTGTTTCTACAGAGACAAGATTTAACTGAAATCAGTCTGGGGCTCCTCAGTACAAGAGGCCCTGGAGCGTGTCCAGAGAAGGGCAACAGAGCTGTGAGGGATCTGGAGCACAAATCTGATGGGGAGCTGCTGAGGGAGCTGGGGTTGTTCAGTCTGGAGAAGAGGAGGCTTAGGGGAGACCTCATAGCTCTCTACAGCCACTTGAAAGGAGACTGTGGTGAGGTGGGGGTCGTCCTTTTCTCCTAGGTGACAGCAATAGGATGAGAGGGAATGGCCCCAAATTGCTCCAGGAGAGGTTCAGGTTGGGTATTAGAAAGACTTTCTTTTCAGCAAGAGCAGTGAGGCAGTGGCACAGGGAGGTGGTGCAGTCACCGTCCCTGAGGTGTTCAGGAGCCGTGTGGATGTGGCACTGAGGGATGTGGGCATGGTGAGGGTGGGCTGGTGGCTGGACTGGGGAATCTTAGAGGTCTTTTCCAACCTTAATGATTGGAAACATAGGAATGGTCCTATGTAATCTCTTCTGCCTTTATGTGGACAGATGACATTTAGATGGTACAGGTGGCTTCATTACATGTCATTACGATAAAGCCTAAAAAAGGCTCTCCACATAAAATTATGACATGCAAGATCTTCAGTAGTCATAACAGCAAGGGTCTTGGTCAGAAAATATGGCTGAATAGTTCAGGAGTGGCTTTTCCAGAAAGCTCTGACACTCCACATTTCCAGACTGACACTTCAGTTGTACTCTGTTTAAACAGCATATGTGTTTGAAAACTGAGTTCATAATCATGTTTGGAATCCACTGTATACATATTTTTAAATGTCAGTGTTTCTAGTTAAACCTTGTGTTGTTATCCATGGTTTACAATGGAAGACAGAAACACCTGTGCTGCACTGAACGTGCACACATTTGGGTTCTTCTCCAGAAGACTATTAATCATGAGCTAAGATATCAAAATTGTACAAACAGCCAAGATTTACATCATTTAAATATCAGTTCTATGCTTTACACAATGCTTGGTCATCTGGAATTACTAGTTAATGTAAGGCAGCATATTTTAAGAATCCCACAACATTGTGGCATTCTACATATAGGACATTAAATCTGAAATATCAAGTTGAGTGATTTGACTGTAATCATTTTGTCACATATTTACTACTGAGGTAATACAAGAAATAACAATATATACTTAAATAGCATATTTTTATAAGTTTGTTTTTTTTTTTTTAAATTACTTCACAGCAATAAACTGGAGAAGAAATCCATTTTAAACAATGGGTAAATTGAAGTTCAGGGTGCTTCAATACTGTGATTTGCTGAAACTAGTAGTTGAAGGCATTGTAAATCTGGGAAGGAGATACATCCCACTTCTCCTGTTCTGTAGTCTGATTGAAATCTATGTATCTAAGAAAACTATTCACCCCTTTATTGCAACACAAAGAATACTTCTTCATAACAGTTTGCATATACTCCTCATTGTCATATTTGTGAAAATTACAGGATGCCTATAACTCCATTATTTATTTTATTATATTTCATTTCATTCCATTTCATTTCATTTCATTTTGTGCAGGGCTGTGTCCTGTTTCATTTCCACAATACTCTTAGACATCAGATGCCTGGTACCCAAACATGTTAATGCTTTATCACACTGCAAAGCTGGTGATAAGCAAGAAGAAGATATCATCAAAAACATCTTAAAGAGGCATACACTAAATTAGGAACACTGAAAGTCATTGATGCTCAGTAGCAGAGACATGCAAATCTGTAACAAGTTTAGAATGAAGTATAAGTTATTCTACGGATGTAAAAAAAAAAAAAAAAAAAAAAAAAAAAAGCCAATATCTGCTATCTAATAAAACACCTGTTGCCTTCTCTTTTTTAGCTTTGCTACTCTCAATTCATCTCGGCTTCCCAGTATAAGTAGTATTTTAGTAGCATATGATCTCATTCGTGCTAAAATGGTGTTTCACAGATTGTCAGTCACTATTTAAAAATACACTTTAAATATTCCATGATATGGAAGATGTCCCAAGGAGAAATGAAGAAAAAAAAAATATATATATCCTTTGCTTAAAATTGCTCGTACAGCAAAATCTTCATTTTACAAATTCCTCTGAGCATGAAAAGAATCAGTTTTGAATATTTCTGATTTTGCAGCGCATTATTGCTGTAGCAAAAAAAATTCTTATAAGGAACCTCTGCAGGAGCCGTTTGGTCCTCTTTACTTAGATTGAGGCTGACCAGGTCAAAGCTGCTCCTTGCCAAGGAGAATTGTCTTTAAAAACATAAAAACTAGTGGGTAACACTTTTAGTTCCACATTATGTGTAGAATTAAGGAAAACAACAAAAACAACAAAACCCAAAACACCTTGATTGCAAAGCTCAGCATTTGCCAGACATTAAAAGCTTGATTGTACATTCCATTTTGCCTGTCGTGGTAATTGAAAAAATGCCTTCACATCACCCAGAACAACACCATTTCTTTATTGACTCAATCTCTTCTACAAGGATAACCGTTTCAAATCAGAATGAAATGAGTAGAGAAATAAGTAGAGAAGTGGTTTTTTGTTTTTTATTTTTGTTAAAGAGGAACTTTAAAAATTGGCTTAGTCAAGGTAATACAGAATGACAGGAGCTGACTCAACATTTTTTTCACCTGCCTTGTGATCATCTGGAAATAACTGCAACTTGAATCATTTGAAAGTCTGACTATTGAAAAGCTCCAGCAATCTGTAGACAAAAACTGTGGGAAGCTAATGATGCTGACAGGAAGAAAACATAAACCTCTGAGACAGGAAGCTGCCAAAGGTCCTCGAATATTTATTGGATGAAGAGTAAGATGAAAGCTGAAGTTAGAAATATTACTGGAAAAGGATCGCTGTTGTCAGAAATTAACAGGTGCAAACATACACTCACATCAGCACAGAGATGCAAATAACCTTTAGAAATTAAATACAGGAAGAATACAGCAGGTCATCTGAATAGGGAATGATGAAGAGGGATATGGATAGACAGTATGCAGCAAAGCACTGGGAGATTAATAGACAAATATTCAAAGCTGGCACTGGCTAGAAAGAAACATTAGCACTCTCCTGAAAGTACTAAAACACAAATACATCAAGTTTATTTACTGATTGTGTCACTAAACCATAATAAACTGTCTTAGGACAAAAAAAAAGCTCTCTTACAGTCATGTAAAAGTTGTCACTCCACTTCAATTGGACCTTTCTTGTCCTAAGGAAATGCTTAATTCATTTTGCTAAAGAACTTACCTGGAGGAAATGCTGCAGAACATTACAGACTTATCCGATGATAGCTGAGGTCATCATGCTCCCCTGGGTACAGCCACAAGACTTTCAAACCAATACACTTTTTTATCAAACTTTGTTGCTGTCAGGTAGAAATCAGCCTCCAAAAGAACCTGTGACAGAATCCCGAGCAGCAGCCGATACTCTGTGCCAGTGGTCTTAGCAGTTTAACTAAAATATAGAGGGCTTTTAGCAGTATTTGCAGTAATGACTCTCAAACATACTGAACAGCTTTGAAAACCGTTATTTCTAGATAACAGAGAATAAGTACTGATTTTGGTAGTCTCTTATTTACACTTACGTCAGATTATGAATAGAATGTACATACCTGCTCTTCAATGCTGCCCCTTAGAGGACACAGTCAAGAAATTCATCCATCTCCCGTCGAAGAGCCTTCGGAGACAGTACAAAGAGAATGCATCAGGACAATATAATGTTGTGCCATTTGAAACCTATTAACAATTTTCATTCTGACTGTTCACCATTACGGTATATTAACATGTTAAATTCCTTAATCACTTCTAGGAAATGCCTCTGCTTCAGTGATATTTGTCAAACAAAG